CACTTTTACCACTCATCAATTCCCCCACTCCCCACAAAAAAATTATCTTAGTTAAACTATCTTGTTCTGATAATAATGTTAGTTGCCTCATACCTGCTAGTGTTGTTCATCAGTGTCTTGAAAAGTGGAAATTATTCTTTTGCATTGAGAATATTTACTTGGAGTGACTTATCCAAGAATTATCTAAGGGATTTTTATGTCGTTGCATCAACGGATTATATTTCTGTGTTTTTGCTTTATAGAATTAATATGTCTTAGCACATCTGCATTAGTAGGTTTGACAAATATTTTAATCGGCTGGTGAAGTGTTTAAACCTGATTAGATATTTTGGCATGCTCTTTATAAAAAAAAATAAAAAGACATTTGGTCATGTTTTCCATACCAACCTGGAAGTGTAAGCTAATATTTCGATCTCTTTGGATCCAGTTGATTTTCTGTTATACATCAGATGCTTCTCATTCTTGGTGAATTCCATGTGTTTGAGTAGGTTGTTTCGCCATTATTATTTAGTTATCATACGACTAATAGATGAATAAAGGTATGTAGAGTGGGATGATACACAACACAATAACCATGGATCTTGTCATGTGAATATACCATTTTGTGGAGTCAAGTAAAACACTCGTATATCCAATCATCTAATCATAAAACACAGATTTATATGCCTCCATATCTTGTCATTGTTTGCTGTGTGTGCAGAAAACCTATGGGATGTGACTTGTGTTAGTGTTTGCATATGAGTTCATAGACTAGGAATCCTCACTTCGTGTCTAATACTGAGAACAATGAAATAAGCCTGATCAAGATAATTATGCGGTTATCATCATTTAATGTAGTAGAAAAGAATGACTCGTAGTAAAAAGCTGTTTTTAGTTTTTCTTTTGTTAAGTTATATAAGCTGACTATGTGCTCTACTAGTTTGCTAATATGAAGCGAGTGGAGTTGAGGTAAGACTAGTCAGGATTGTGGTGCCAAGTGCAAACAATTTAGATATCGTCTTTTCAAGAGAATGGAATGATGGATGAATGAATATAATTACTCATAGAGATGTACGGTAATATTTTTGAGAAGGTAACATTTGTGTATATTGACAAGGAAAGTACATAGGTCATATAAGATTAGAACTGACAATATTCACCGGAAGGTGCAAGTAGCACGTAATGAGGATATAAGGAGTGAATGCTGCTTTAGATGGTTTGATCAGGTCCTTTGTCAATCAAATGTATTGTTGGGGAAACTATGATGAGCTAAAGGTTTTAAAAGGGGCTTTGGGGGGTCGGGGGTGGATGGGGATCACATGAAAGGTAGTTGTCTTGAAAGGCCTACAATGCCTCGAATCGATGTAGGCTCAGCTATATATAGGGCACAATGGAAGGAAACAGTAATGTAGGAGATATCTACTAGCTGAAAATAGGTTTTAGTCTTGTTAGTAAATTGTTTTTGACCTATTGCTTTTCTAGGAGTATTTTGAACTTGTAATAGATTTATATGGCAGTAAAAACTTGAGAAACTTTTATTATAATTTGTTTATTACTACTGCTGCTATTTATTTGCATATTTACATTTTTAATTTATTCTTCACTTTTATTTTTATTTGGCATGATGATGACATAAATAGATAAATATGATGAATGGAGATTCATATAGTAGTGTTGTAGAAAGGCTCTTTTAGCTTTTAATCTTAAGACTTAGATTTCTTAAAAGTCATTTCCGCGATGTAATTATAAGATGCTCATATTATTCGTCCATTTTAAATTTACTTCTAACAATGCTAAATTAAAGGTTTTCCTTGCATGATTGGATAGTTATTGATCCATGGGGAGAATTGAAAAGAACGTTATCGAATGACCTCATAATTTGTTTCATCAGCTATTTATAGAACCAATGCCTAACAGTAGGGTGATTGTCTTCTGTGGAGTATTATTTTGTAAGATAACTTTAATTATTATCCTTCATGTCTTCTGTAAGATTATATTCGTTTCACACCTATATTTTTCTATTCAATGTGCTCTTGCGTCATGCTGCCTGCTCTGTGATTCTCATGTTCTGGTGATATGTCCCCTATGTCAAGTACCTACTCTGCATCCTACTTCTTGGTCTAATCAACTCAAGGTGTGGTGGATTAATCAGGCACCTATACCAGAACCTCCTGCTGAGAAGGCCCCCAAGAAGTCTGCTGCAAAGGCTGGTGAAAAGAAAGGCAAGGAAGTCGAAGTTCATACCAATGAAGAGCCTCTAGATCCAGTAGCAGAAAAACTTCGCCAGCAAAGGTTAGGAACTTACATGCCTTGATTGAGAAATAGAGGATTAGTAGTTTAGAACTTTAGATGTTTACGAAGCTGGTGTCACGCCAAGTCATTGGTTATAGTTAATAAGTTGAATTATGAATGTGGTTGGGAATTATGTGATGTTTTCCCTGTGTAATTTGTTTGTTTTCTCGATGAACTAGATAATACAATGTGGCTATTGACATCAGGAGATATTCAGAATTCTTATCACATTTCTATTTACAGGCTTGTAGAAGAAGCTGATTATAAGTCCACAGCTGAATTGTTTGCCAAGAAAGGTGGTGATGACAAGACCCTTGAAAATTTTATCCCAAAAAGCGAGAGTGATTTCTTGGAATACGCTGAGTTGATCTCTCATAAGCTGCGACCATATGAGGTTTGGCAAATTTAATCTTTTCAGTCTTTTCTAATTTCTTAATTGTCGGGGTTTAACTTGACTGGGCATTAAATGCTTGTCTGCTGTTTTTTTAGAAAAGCTACCACTACATTGGGTTGCTCAAGGCTGTTATGAGATTGTCGATGACCTCATTGAAAGGGCAAGATGCTAAAGACATTGGTTCTTCTATTACTGCATTTGCAAATGAGAAGATTAAAGCAGAAAAGGAAGCCACTGCAAGTAAAAAGAAGACAGGTACTGCTGTGCATACTTACTTTCTATGATAATTGTGTTTTCTATATTGGTAGGGTTTATGACTTTTTTTCCTTACAGGTGCAAAGAAGAAGCAGCTACATGTTGATAAGGCAGATGATGATGCAGTGGTAAATGCATATGATGGTTATGATGATTTTGATTTCATGTGAAGAGGGGGAAACTTAGCAAAGACAGGAATGTTAGGCCGGTTTTTTTACCTTTCTAGCTATATCAGTCTGGAGATCTTTTGAATCTACAAGTGACAACTATGAGGAAGATCTTGGAGCCCTGTTACCTCCCTATTCTGGAGTCTTATTGAGTGTGTCATATCTTTTTCTTTTTTCTTTTGGGTCAAATAAGAAAGTATCCTTTGTTTTGTTTACATTTTGTGGTCAGTTACTGGTTGAAGATCCGTTGGTAAATGATTTGTCGGTTGATCTGCGTTCTCTTGTATGATTCAGATCTCAGATTTTGGACCTATAGATTTCATGTAACTGTCTTATTCAAAACTATTTGATCCTTTATTTTCATGCTTTCTTCTTGATGCTGACCATTTGCCAATGTGTACAGTTAATTGTTAAAATTGTTGCGGAAATCAAATTCACAGTGACTTGAGATTGGATGCAACTTCTGTTCGAATAGTCAATATGTAATTCTACTTGGATTGCCAAATTCAGCCTTTGCGTGAGGGCATGAACCTCAGACAATTCTTATCCATCTCAGTACTTGAGATTGGGCACGAACTTTTGTTTCTTGAGAACTTCACCTCATTAGCTTATGTCAACACTTAGAAAAAATTAACTCTATTTTAGAGGTTCGATGCAAGTCGTTATAATTACAAATAACAAATAAGTAGGCATTATGAATTGAAGTTGCGATAGTTTGTTTTTCTTCAGATTTGGCTTTCCAGGAGTGGTCATGATTTTTTTTTCCAGAAAATATTACTCCCTCCGTCCCATATTATAAGTCACCCCTTTCTAGAAATAGCTGGACCACAATATATGTCATTTTATAAAATTTATACATAAATTATCATATTTTGCCCATAATAATCTTGAAAATGTATTTACTTTGACTAACCTAGGAAATCTACAAGTAATTAATTTCATTGGGAGAGTACTTCATTCATTAATTTACTACTTTCTTTATTCACTACTTATTCTATAAAATCTGATTTTGAAAAAAAATATCAACAAACAAATTAAAAATAAAAGATGAAAAAAAAATCAAAAATAATCTTGAAAGTTGAAACTTCAACAAATTTTATCAAGGAAGATGACATTTCAAAAAGTTCAAAGGATGTAAAAATAGAAGACTTAACAAAACATGTGAAGACCAAATTGAGAAAAATCAAGATCCAAATAAAGGAGTTATGCATCATTTAAATAAAAAAAACAAATGATTTGTCGAACTAGAACTAAAATTCATTTGTAGTCTAATTTTAAATTTAGATCAATTTAAAGTAATGGAATTTGAATATTTTGTGATGTTGTCATGTTTGCTTTAAGAATTTATATATAAAAATATAAAAAAACATTTTCAACAAAATATATAGGAAAATTGAGGTGGGAAAAACTTGATTTTTAATTTTTTTTGGATCAATTGGTGAAAAAATTTGGCTCCAAAAGGTAAAATTTAAATAGTCATCCAAATATATTTATATTTTTAAAATCTAACATTTCATCATTTATTACAAAGTTGTCATAAGCAAATATTAATTAAGGGCATAAGGGTAAAACTACCTTATTTCTTAATGCAAGTGCAAATGGAAAATGTGACTTATAATATGAGACGGAGGGAGTATATGTTTTTTTTGGTCGTATTGGAGCTTCAACTAAATTTGAATGGCTCATTGTAGGCCCATTTGGGGTGATGCTCATTTTCTCCATATCTAGAGCTCAAACAGGAGACGTCTTGATAAGGGTGAAGTAATTTTACCACCGTTATAATGCCGGCTTTGAAAAACACCTACTATTTAAAGAAAATCATGTTGTTTTTCTTTAGAAAGAAAATTATCTTTTACTCTAATGATTAAATTACAAAAAATTGGAAAAAAAAAGTTTGAAATATGAGCGTCCCTTTTTAAATTTGGTGGCCCAATTCAAATTAGGAGGAAGAAAAACCCAAAACCCCCGCCCTCTTCACCTGAGTAGCAGCGATGGAAACTGATGAAAACCAACGGATTCTTCCATTTCAGCTTCAGTTCGACAAACCCATTGCTTCTCAGGTCCGATTGTATTCACTTATGTATTGTAAACCTGCTTATATGATGATTATTTTCAATTTTGTTCGTATTTTGCAGATTAAAATTGCTGAATGGAATCCAGAAAAAGATTTACTTGCTATGGTTACAGAAGACTCCAAGCTTCTACTTCATCGTTTCAATTGGCAAAGGCTCTGGACTGTTACTCCCGGTACCCCTTTTTTACTTTCATCCCTCAATATGCGATGTCTCAACACGAGCTTATAAAGTTTTGTAAAGATTATTTTCTCCTAGGGGATGGTTGAATAGTTCAACTGTAGAGAGGGAAAGCGGAGATATTATTTGCTGACACCTCTACTTATGGTTGGCTGATGTACTAGTTGAACTTCCTGCAAACTGACCATATAAAAAGGTTTTTTTTTTGTTTGTGTGAATTGTTTCTTTAGTTGGTAAAATTCAGTAATACATGTTTTATGGTTTGGCTGTTAGATGTTTTTCTTGTGAAAGCGTGGGGACTGATTTAATGTATTCCTGATAAGAGGGGAAAATTAGACTGCTATCATAATCTAAAAAACTGATCCTATTCCATGTTCAAATCAGCATGTTTGGTCCTTTTTCAGTGTCAAAGATGTTAAGTTACAACATCAATCTCCTAATCTTAATTGTCCACTAATGGAATATCTATCTTTTAGGAAAGAACATAACTTCCATATGTTGGCGTCCTGATGGGAAAGCAATTGCAGTTGGGCTTGAAGATGGGACCATCTCCTTGCATGATGTAGAAGTAAGTTTGATGATATAAAGGATGTTTTTCTTAGTGCAAATAGTTGTTAGTTTAAGTATGTCATGAATCTGTTTAAACAAAATATGATAGTTGCAGGATCAAAGATATTTAACGTTCGATGATCTTATAAATACCTTGGATTATTTCATTTCTTACTCGTAAAAACAAAGAAGTAAGTTATGCCATGAGGTAGCAAATAATTATTTGAAAATAAATATCTTGATAAGATAAATTTTTATCCAATGGTTTTCAAACTTCTCTTGCTCGGTCTAAGTTGTTGTCATTTTCCATCTGCAATATTTGCATCCTTGTCACTATTTGCTAGATACCTACTCCTGCTGTCTTCCCTGAAAGAAGTTGTACTAGCCTACTTTGTAATTTGTAATCCAGAAGATACTTTTTCTCCTTTTAGAACTTATAGATTGTTCTTTCCCTGTAAACCTTATAAAAGCTTTTAGTGAAGGTACACCACTATAAGTGTCCATTAAACATATCTTATAAGATATTGCATCTTGCAAGGATGTGATAAAAACTTATTTAAGGATCTTATTTATGTAACTTCAATGTGCATTACTTGTTTTGTATTTTACAAAATGAATACAGTACTAGACTACTAGTTATCTCTTGAGCATTATATTTGATGAAGAGCCTGAATCTACTTTGTTTATTTAGCTGCAAATTAGAGAAAAAACCCACTACATTGACACTGAGTAATTTGTGAAAAAACATTTTTTTTCAAGAGCTTGGTGGATTTCATTAGGATTAGGTTGACACTGAGTAATTTGCGAAAAAACATTTTTTTTCAAGAGCTTGGTGGATTTCATTAGGATTAGGTTGAGTGAGAAGAATTCCATTTTGTTGGCTTGAGCCTTTAAGTTAAGATTTGTCCCTGTCAATTAGAATATTATTGGTTCATTCTCCTGTGTGCTTTCTGTACATACTGTTTTCTCATTAGTCTGTTCCCTTGCAGAACGGAAAGCTGTTGCGAAACATAAAGTCCCACTCAGCTGATGTTGTGTGTCTCCATTGGGAGGAGGATGGGAAAAAGGTTTTACTTTTTGTTCAAACTTCTGACAGACTACTTTTCCATGGTTAATAGTAGTGCAAGTCTATTCAAGTTATTTATCATGCAAGGATTAAACGTCAGCCAGTTGAGGTCTGACTTTATTTGGGCTTTCATTTGTGAACTAACTGCATTATTTCAATTACATTGAGTAAAGGAACATAGTTCCTTATTTGAAAATATATTGAAAATTACATCCAAACTGCCCTCTCTTTCTCGTGTTGAGAAAATCCATTTCTACCACAGCAGCCATTTAACATCCACCTGCAGATTCAGTTTATGCTCCACGATGAAGCCATTCTTGATTAGTTTTTATCTATTATTAACTCGAAGAAGCTTAAAGAGTTGTTAAGCTTTCTTGCTGGATTGAACTTTCGTAAGTTGTATCTCTAGTTCCAAGATCAAACGAATTGTCTCAGACTGTTAGTGTGCAGTATTTTCTGTTGGGGGACTGCATGTTTTGATCTTTGTTATCTCTGTTAAGGTGTCGTAGCAAATTTTACGGTGTAGCAGATGACTTGCAGAGAGTTGCTGCCCTTATGTAGAACCTGAAACTTTATGCTACGATACTTATTAGTTTGGAGGGCTTCCGGATATGTTTTGGGTGCTTCGCTTTTTGTGCCTTTCACCTTTCCTGACCTTGTAAGTCTTATCTCTTGGAATTTAGGACAAGAACAGTAATACCTCCAGTTATGAAGATCGAACTTCACGGTTCTTTCCTCCTCCCCCTAGAGTTCCTAAGATGCCTGGACTTGTACCTGGGGATAGTGGCTTCATGGATGATGGAGAGGATTCTTTCCCGGAGCTATCAAATTCTTCACATCAAAGATATAACATTTTATGTAGCGGGGACAAGGATGGAAGTATCTGCTTCAATATCTTTGGCATATTTCCAATAGGGACAGTTGTAAGTTGTTTGTCTTCATTAAAGATGTTTTGGAGTTTTTTTTTTTTTTGAGTGATATCTGTTTTCATTTCACCTGTCTCTTTGACTAATTGTCTGATATTTTATTTCTATTATGTGGATTACTTGGACTTACTCGCTAGAATATACACAACCTTGTTGTCTCCAGTTCACTCTCAAGCAGCAATGTTGCTAGCCGACTTCTGAATGCTTCCATTTGTAAGGTATGTTTACTTTGTTGTCAACGGTCTTGTGATATCTTAGTAGTCCAAAGGTTGAAGTATTTATGTCTTGCTCAACGATACATTTTGCTATGTCCTGCTTATTCACATCAATATTATATTTTAGTTTCCATTTCAAATAATTTTATTGGAGTTGATACCAGGAAGGTAGCAGAACAGTCTCAAACACCACAAAACAATAGTGATAAAAGTAGTAATAGTAATTTAAAAGAAAAATAGTGATAGTGATAAAAGATGCTTATGCAGAACCAGCTTTGGTTGCTCAAAAAACTTAGTGTAAGTGTGTAACACATTCCAAAAAATGATGACACCTTTAGAAATCAGGTATTGGCACTTTTGATGTGACTTGTCAGGGGAGTTCTTTGCATAGATTGTGCCAAATTCATGCCTAATCCCTATTCATCGTTCTCACTATGTATGATGTCATTGAAGGTGGCCTTGTCTAAAGATCTTTGCCATTTAGTAGTTTTGTGCAATGGGGAGCTGATCACTGATGAGATTGATCAAGGTGAAGGACATCATGGGTTACTTGGCTTTCACTGCTTAGTCCTCAATACTTCAATATTTTCCAAAAGGTAATTGTAAAGCGAAACTTTATGAATTTTCATCTCCTGTTTTAAGATGTGAAAATACTCTATTTTGCAGCAACCAGCAATTGTTGTTTCTGAGACAATCGTCATAGATGATGATAATAGAGATGATTTGACTTTTACTTGCATCGACTTTGAATAATTGTTTTAAGAATTAAAATTTAAAGAACAAAAAGGGAAATTTGACAGGGTAGAATGTAGCATATCTGTGACACGTGTTTTTGAGGGTACAAGGTACTTAGATTTTCCACCAGTGGCTCACTGTGTCACTGCTGAATGAATATTAGGCATCATTAATTTGTACAAGGATCATAGGCTGCCAGTTCAGTGAGATTAGGCAGAAAAAAGTAGTCTGACTGAGAAATAGATTTAAAAAAAAGAGAGATTAGGCAGAAAAGTAAAAACAATTTAGAGAGCGCCTTGAGCTAAGAAGTTTTGATAGCTATGACCCATGAAGTTAAAGGGTATCTGAGAGGTATATATAAAGAAGTTGGTTGATTGAGGGTAGCTACTTGGAAGAAGAGTGACACTCTCCAGAAAGAATGGGCTTCGCTACAACAGTTAGAATTTGTTTCTCTTTCAGTCTCTCATAGAGGCTTCATAGATGTTAGTTGGATGGGTCTTTTTGATATTAGTATGGGTACTCATATGGTATTCATGAATGAGACTTGTATTTTTGTTAAAGCCAAAGATAGCCAAGTACTTTTGTTTGATTATCTTGATATGATTTAAAAATAGAAATCCTTAAAGAAGAAATAATATAAGTACTTAATTTAGAATTTCCTGTCCTTGGAGAGAAGAAAAAACAAGAGAATTCAGCGGAGGCAAAAAAACTAGGTGATTCCTCCCATCTGTCCTAGTCTTGGTGGACAGAGTTATCTGGTACCTATTGCTGGTGGGAGGTGGAGGTATCCCGTGGAATTAGTGGTGCGCGAAATCTGACCTGGACACCGCGGTCATAAAAAAAGAAAGAAATAGAATTTGTATAAGAGTAATATATAGTTATTGTATGTACTGGGTATTGGTTGCGAATAGTATGTCGTTGGTTCGCTTGATGGAAGTTGAAGGCATCGGATGCCTGTCATGTGCTCATCCATTTGGGGCGTGATAACGCTTGTTGGGACGATGTTGATAGTCATCAAAGCATTATTACTTTCCGTGGTACTTGGCTACATTTGATGCATAGACCTTTCCAACATAGAGTTACATTATTCAGACATGCTTGAGGCTTATGGGTCTCTGTCAAGAGGAAGCGACGTTGTGGATTTCATGGGCTACTTTGACATGGCATAGGATTTAAATTCTTTAGTGGTCGAACATACCTACACTCACTCTGTTAAGTAGGTCAAGATAGGGTGGTGTAGTGCCTGAAAGGACATGCCTCTGTTCTATGACTCCTGGCTCCCAGCAGAGTAGTTTACATCAACAACATACCTAGTGAAATTCCACAAGTGGGGTGTGGGGAGGGTAGAGTACACGGAGACCTTACCACTATCTCGTGGAGAGTAAACTACATAAGTAGAAGACTGGAGAATATATCCCAGGTTTGGTTTGATCCCTTCATTTTAAATAATGGACTTCTCCAACATTTTTTCTCGCAGAAGTGCTCCAAAAGTTTCTTGGATTTCCTGCAAATGAGGTTGAGTGCCTTGTATCTTATTTTCTCTCACCAAGTGCTGGTCCTTGTTGGATCAGAGGACTTAGCTCCTTCAGGTCGGGGATTTCGGTGGAGGACTTTCTGTGGATCCACTCCTTTTTACATTAAGAAGGAAAGTTTCCTTTTGGTGGAGCCAGTTGCATAAATAAATATGAAGCAGCCGAATCATGTCCTTATTTAGCAGAGGACGTTGGAAGGGTTGGGCAAAGCACTTAATGTAGAGCTATAGTGTGTGCCATGAAGGTGTGCAAAGTTATCAGGCAAATTCAAGCTTAGCACCTGCATAACTCCTTATTACTGTGATTTGTGTTTGACCATTCACAATCACAATTGCAATATATGTTTTCATGCTAACAAAGATTCTTACAATCATACTTGGATACTGACATGGTTTATGATTTTCCCTTAAACGAACTGCTTGAATTGTGTTTTGTTGATTTGAGTTTATTTGGCATGTATCATAACTGCTGTAACCAACCAATCTCAGGAAAACTGAACTTCACCAGGTTGCCCAACAGGCTTCCAACATTGAAGATCTGAGTGAAGTCATCCGGACATCACTATCAGTCATGTCTAAAATATGGTCTGATGCTATGCACACATTTCACGAGAAGTTCAATGCTGTATCCACATTGATCGTTGACCATGGTAATGCTCAAAATCCAAAAGTCAACCTTAATGGTTTCCTTCTCTTCTGCGTTGATGTTAAACTTTTGTTTTCCATTTTTCGCCTAGGACTTGACTCTACTCCTCAGGATGAGTTTCTAAGCCTTTTAGGTGGCGCCAGAGCCAGTCCTCCGCTTCATCAGTTTTTAGAAAATTCTCTTGGTGAGGCGGTATGACCTCTTCCACAGGAGAATTTAATTAAGGAGAGGAATTACTGGTTTAATTTTTTAATTTATTTAACTACTATTGCCAGGGTCTCAAGCGGGTAGCAAAGGCAGTTAATGGTGCGGGGAAAGAGCTTCAGTTAATTGTTCTTGATCATCTCCAGGTGTCCTTGACTTATTCTCTGTTTTAAATTTGTAAAACAAAGATAATTTTTTTCATGGTGCCAGAACTGCACAAAATTGTCAGTTATCGTAAGGCAAGGCTGTCTCTGATCTATAATATTTCATAGAATAATTTTCAGATGATACCCATTCTAAAAGTGACTCAGAGTCACATAGAGTATCACAGGTTTAACCAGTTTGCAAGGTTAACCAACTCTTATTGGCCTAGTAGATGTTTTAATTGCCTGTTTTTTCCCTCGGGATACAGCTCAAAATCTGAATGCAGTACTGTTCTTCGTTTTTACTGTAGTTGACTTTCTTTAAAAATAATATCTGGTTGTCTGTTTTTTAGAGTTAAAGGTTAACCATAGGGTAAATTTTAAAATGGTTACTAGTTGTGTAAGAAGATGAGGTTCTTTTGCTCTTTTTTTTTTTGATGACCGTGGTGTCTAGGCCAGCTTTTGTGGCACCTCGACTAATTCCATGGGATACATGTCAGCTCTCACCAGCAACAAGTATTAGGTAACTGTTAGGGATGCGTTGGAAGACATTAATTTAAGTATTTAATTATATTTTTAGTTGTTTTATTTATTATTCTAGAATAGGGTTTAGTTTTAGAGTTTCATAAGAATTAAGTTAAGTTATAGTTATTAGTTTGGAATAGGATTTAGGTCTCTTACTTTCATAAGAATTAGACTTCCTATTGATGTAATAAGACTCCTATTTAAAGGGGCTTTTGATGAATAAATCAGTAAGTCATAATTCAGCAAAAAGCAGGAGATTGGAGTTCTCTCTTCCATTGAACTCTAAGGTTTCAGTCTCCCTTTGAAGAGCTGAAGAGATCGGAGTTCTCTTTTAATGAATTCTAAGGTTTCAGCCTCCTTTAACGAGCTGATTTATATATCGCCTTGTGAATCGATCCTTCCCTAAAGATTCATAACAGTAACCCTGTCCACCAAGGCTAGGACAGATGGGAAGAAGGACCTAGTTTTTTGTCTCTGCTGGGATTTGAACCTGAGACCTCATGGCTATCAACCACTTCATTAACCACTAGGCCATACCCTTGGGTGCTTGCTCTTTTTTTTTTTCAAAGCACTGATTCTACTTGTATTTAGAGGAGTTTCTATAACTGCTGTGAAGTAAATGGAAATCTATCTCCATTTACTCAACTTAGTAATTGATGGTGGTTGGTGATATTATTGAAATTATCACTTGAGTACTCCTACTTTTTTCGTAATATTTACTTTTGTCAATTTCTTTGATGCTTTGAGAACTTAGCTTCTGTTTCCAGCCTGCTGCAGAAATTATTGGATTCAGAATTGGAGAATTGAGAGGGCTTTCAAAATGGCGTGCACGCTATAAAGGTATCGGCCTGGACGAGAAGTTGATGGATAATGCTACAGAAAGGGCTGGCATGTTACTCATACAGGTTGAACGTTTTATGAGGGTTTTAGCTTCTGTTGTACAACAGGTAAATTTTTATCTGTGTACTACTCGTTGTACAATTTTCTCCTATATCTTTTGTGCTAAAAATCAGTTCTGATTTATTCTGCCAGTAAGGGACCGTATATTTGGTCTTTATATTTCTGAGTTGGCTTTACAAGATATTTAGGAGAAGTGTTTTCTTTTTAGCTTGAAATGTTTGTTACTTTATTTGAAAAGAAATAGAAAAGAAATATGAAATGCTAATTTTCTATTCTAGATTTCAATCTTAATGATCTCCTTCCAAGTGAATTTGCATGATAGTATATTGACAGAGCTAGGTTTTTTTTTGACCTACTTCATAAGTGATCAATTTGGAGAAGTGCAAACGAATGCTTGTTATGCATTTTATATTTTTGCCTCCCTGCTTTTACGTTAAATATGCTTAGGTGCCTGCCGTTTACTCGTGATTGAGAATAATAGTGCTACTTAAGATAGGAAGTATGCCCCTCAACCCAAAGCAGCAATGAATAAAAAGAATTTCAAGTAAGCCTAATGTGTGCTACTTGCACTTTCTGGTGAATGTGATCATTTTAAACTTGTATGACCGTATATCCGTCTTAGCATCCTCGACTGCGACACTCATCTTGTGGGTGTGCTGGACTTTAACAGCCCAACATTCACTCCCATATAACATTGTTGGTCTGATTATCATGGTGGGTCTAATTAGTCTTGTTTTCAGTTTTCAAATTTTTTCAGCTGGCTTCTGAAATCTGTGAAGATTCTAATGGCTGAACCAAGTGATCAGCTACCTTTTAATAGGTTTAACTTTCATACCTTCTTTATTGTTTCCACCATTATCAATTTTTTTATCTACTTACAAATGGTATCACTTGGTTTTAATGTTAAACTGTCTTCCTCTGTGCTTCTTTGTTTTGACAGTGAACTTGTTATTATATTCTTGAAATTCCTGTATGATCAAGATCCTGTAAAGCAGTTACTGGAGCTTTCTGAGGTAGATAGCAGTGTCGAAGTAGACCTGTAAGTTGTACTCCAGCCAAAATAAGTTTGTGTACAAGACAAGTTATTATGCTTTATTCTCCACTATGTTTATGTTTTATTTTAAGGTTTGACTTTTATGTAAGGTAGTAATAGTAGAAGAAACACTTTCCTATGTTCATTACCTCTTTCCATTTCTCTTTTCCTTGCATGTGGGGGCTGAGGAAAAAAAAACTAAAGCCTCGCCGCAAATTTTTCGTTTTTCCCAAGGCGAAGTTGCTTAAACTCATTACTATAAATATGGGTTGTTGGCTCCTTTTCCATGATTATTGACTAAAAAAAATTAAGGCACTCGAAAAAGGACTGGCAGTTATGGTCTATGAGAAGTAGGAGAGCATGAAAAGAGAAGTCATGGGGCCTGAAGAAGTTTCAGAATGGTCCAAATGTCACAGATTGGACCAAGACCCTTTTTAAGTAACATCGACTGCTGAAAGTTCTTGAACTGGATTAAATATAAAGAAAAGTTTCCAAATATTGAATGTGTGAAAATGTGTTCTTTCTTATTTTCGTGTTTTGTTCTATTTTGCAACTGAATCAAATCCAAAATGGTATATATTTGGTTTCTCTACTACTTCTATGTTGAGAACTTGAAAGTTCCATGATAAGTTTGATGCAGCTGTACTTAATATGACGATGTTCGTCAATAGATCTTGTTGGAATAACCAGGATCTTGTTTTATCACTCTTAGAAATGACAATTATCTTAAGCATCAAAAAGTCAGAATTTGATTAGGCGTAGGATTTGGCTAGCCCAAATTTCATGTCAAATTATTCCAATACTCCAAACTCTTGCAGCTGAAGTTTTAACTTTGGGGATTCATTTGAAGATCACTGCTTAATTAGCAATGTTAACTTTTTTGTGTGGATGATTTGGAAGCTGTTATGGTTATCAAAAAAAATAGAAGGCTATTATACTCTTCTGAACTCACCCCAGAATCATAGTTTCACCTACTTTTGTTTCGCATTTTTACTGTGCAGAGCCTATTATTTTCTTGTATCAATGTTGTAATTCTAAAATTTATGTTCTTTCCAAATTAGGGAAACGATGGAAAGAATTAAACAACTAGCACATTTTGGAGGGTTTTCAGATCTAGAATATTTGAAAAGGACGCTTTCACAAGAATTTCAACAAATGGAGTCTTGGTACATCTTCTCTTTATTTTTTTCTTTACTAGATTTGTGCATATGTTAGAATATTCTATGTGGTAGTGATGACTGTTAAAGATCCCGACTGCATGTGAGGCTTGGCCCATATTTAAAAAAATAAATAAATTTACTTTTACCTGTTCAAATATTGGCTGTATAGGCATGCAGTGGATATTGTTTAGCTGGATTTTGATACTCCTATAGTGCCAACAGACCAAGAATTTGGGAAGAATTAGTGGATGCTCTTGTGTGTATACATCCCAGATTCATGTTTTATTGTTGTTGCATTCTCAGTAGTTGCTTGCTGTCTGGTATCTGTGTTTACTGTTTAGATATCATGTGCCTAACTGTTGGTCCAAACACACGGGAATTCAGTTTCTGTCTTACTTAATTGCTATTTATTAATGTGGAGTGCCCATTGCCCAGCATAGGGCTTTTTCTCTGTGTGTTTGGACATCATTTGTCCAACTGTTGATCCAAACAATGGGAAGGTCAATTTCTGTCTACCTTAATATCTGCTTGTTGGTGATTTATTAATGTAATGCCCACTGCCCAGCATGAAGCTTTAATGGCTGAATGCAACAATACCAGTAGTAAGAAACAAAATTCATCTCCATTTAGTGCAGAATAAAAAGTCTACTTTCTATTACTTCAGGAATTTATCTTTTTAAAATTGGAGGTTTCATTGCGGATCTAGAAATGGTATTTTCTGTTAAGAGACCATCAACAGTAAAGATTTGTATCTCCTTTCTTTGTGCACATTACTTCATCTTCTTTGTCTTGATCAGATTATGAATAGAGAAAATTCTGTTCGCTATTGATGAATATTAATCTGCTCAACATATGGAGTTATTAAAACAAATTGAGCTTGCAATCTTGGCTATTTTGGCTTTCTTGTTTACATTGGTCGTTTCTATGTTTACATTTTCTTTTTTAACTCCCTGTCGTGTATGAGTGGTGGTAACTTGGAAAGGATCTTGATTTTGGACCACTTAACTTATTTGGATCTTGCTCCCCCTCTGTTGTCATTATCATTGATCAGGAGGAAGTAAGGGATTGCACATTTAGAACACAATGTTTTAATCCTCTTTTCTTTTCAATTTTGCTACAATCAGGTTTGGTATGATGATCTTACTTTTTTTTGTTTCTTCCGAAATTATTGGCTTGAAGAATGTACAAAATGTCCTCCTTGAACTGGCTATCCTATTTTTATTTGAGTTCTCCTGATAGAGGAATTGTCAGCTGTCAATGAAGGCTGCCATCATTTATGCTATCTTTGATGAAAAGAGAAGGGGGTGGAGGGATGGAAGTAAGGCGAAGAATATGGGCCATCTAACTTTTTTCAGAAAAAAAAGGAGCAGTGTCATTTAACTTGTTTGGTAAGGAAGTACAAGAGGAGGTGAAATGAAGTAGAGGGGCTGCGTTCTGCTCCATGTTAGCTTTCTCAATCCATCCAAAACTAGATAGAAATGAGGAAGTGTGTTAGTTTTAATTCTTTCCAACTGGACCAAGCAACCTGAAGTGAATCATAGTAGTTCAACTCGAGGAAGTAATCATATAGGTTTGTCTCATTCACCCTCCCCTCTTCATTCCAGGAAACATAGTTTCAGGCAGAAATGCAGAACACGTTATACCTTAAGCTGTTTTTGCAAGGTCATTTTCAGATTCTCAGAAACACTGGGGATTTAGCAGCTCACATCTCAGCATAAGGAAGTGTAAGATCCAAAAGCCATAGGGGTGTAAAAGAAAAACTGTGTCTCTTGAAGAAAGTAATAACAATAGAAAGGAAACGTAGGCTTGCCAATGATGAAGCTTTCACACTTTTGATGGTATATATATGAATATCCAACTAATACAATGATTCTCCTTAATGAGATGCATTTTTTGTTGAATACCTTAGTTTCCAATGTGATGTGTGAAAAAGTATCATTGATTGTAATTGTAATATGACAGTAGTCAACATCTTATAACTAAAGTTTGAAAGCTTGACATAACCTCTTGAAGGCATTTCCTGTTTGGCATGACTAAATAAATCACTCAAATCTTGTGTTGTTTCCTTCATCTGTGGTTGAATTGGTTAATCTGATATTTGAATTGCAGTTTCAAAGATGCTTTTGAGATGCCATTTTCTACTATTTCGGAAAAACTACTTTGTGAGGATCTGCTGCCACTTTTTCCTATTGCATCCTCTTCAAAACTAAAGCCTTACAAGGTTCCTGCATCAGTGTCCTACTATGAGGTACTTGTTCAACCATAATCTATGAATAGCCTTGTCGAGTAAGCCACTCCTATTTGATCTTCCTAAGATTCTTATTTTTTTTCTTTTCTTTTATGGTTTTCCTTTTCACTATTTGGTGTCATTAGGTTATTTGATATTAAAAACCAAGTTTTCAAAACAAAAAAAAAAAACAATTGGAATGGAATAGTTATGAATGTAATTTGTTCTCGTGCTGTGTATAATAATGAATCATGAAAATTTTTTTGGAGCTTCAAAATGACCTCCTCAAGATCTGGCTATGTGGTGGTGGTCCACAAAGTCTAAAAAATATATGTTCACAAAATTATGGTGATCGTTGTCTAATTCTTGGTAGAAGTTATGAAAGCTTAATTTCGCTGTAGCTTAAACTTAAACTGCATTAGTTATACCTGATTATTCTTGGAGTTGTTGAGAGTCGGTAATCTATAATGGATGAGAATTGAGACTTAACCTTATGATCCCTTTCCATTCGTTCAGGACATTTTGCATGATGCTTCAGATAGTGAGATACATCAACAGATGCTCACTGGCTACATATCCTTCAAATTACCAGATGATTCTCTTTCAGTCACAAACTGCATAGGTATTGTCAGGGGCCTTACACATGATTTGAGCAAAGTGGACAGCATACGTGATCCCATAGAAGCGACCCTCTTATGTATTCCTGATGGATATCACTGTATTGATCTCTCACTTTATAAAGTAAGTGGAAAATTCCCACCTGGTGTTAATTTTCTATAACCTACAACTTTTCTAACCCTTCAACTGCCATTTAACATTTCATCATTCAAAGCAGGAGGGTCAAATTGTTTTGCTATTAAACGAAACTGCAACCACTTCTGAGAGCTCTGGAAATGCTTTCATGATGATTCTACAAGCTGGTGACCTTTCATTTGTATCTCTTTCAAGATCTACCGCCCCCAATTCTTGGAAGCTTCACGAACTTCAGGTATATGACATCATTACTCTACCAGTAAATAATCTGCGTAAATTTCTCTTGGAAATTCTGTATCCAATGGCATGCATTCTAGTTTGTGATGTTGGATGGATTGTTTTTGCTCAATTTACACCATTGCGTCACTGAATTTGAAATAGATGGAGGTGTATATATACATGCTACATGATTTGTTATTCTGAACATCAGAAACTAATTGACTTTTTATCTGCATGATAATCTAGGATTCTGCTATATACCTGCAACTGGAGAGTGAAAAGGTTCGAAGCATTCCTCATTCTGTGGTTTCTCCTTTGGCAGTCAGTGGTGAGTGGTTATATTTGTACTATTTTGGGTTACAACTGTTGTTGGTAACTATAGGAATAGAGGCTAACACATTCATGAGAACTAACCAAGAAAATTCTGGGCTTAAAATGTTCAATCGCTTCATACCAAAAATGAATACGTCTGAACACCATTGGTCCTACTCATTTGAAGGCCGAAACACCTATTTCTTTGTCAATTAGAACTTCAGTTTCAAGCTAAGCTAAGCTACGCTAATGGTATTTAGAGAATCTTTACCCCCCCCCCCCCCGGATAGCTAATAGCACTGTGAATTGCAAATGCACTTAAAACTAGAATCCTGTAATGACAGATGGAATTTCATCCAGATACACATGATATTATCGTTAACAATTCTCATGTAATATGGATGACTATTGCTAGACACTTATTCGTTTGGTATGGATATCCTAGCAAGTGATTTGACATTTTCAATATGATTTTGCTCTATCAGCATCAAGAGGTGTAGCTTGTGTTTTTGCTGCAAGAAAGCGTGCTTTGGTTTACATCTTGGACGAAGATGAAGATGAAGTTTCTGATACAGAGTGACAGTACCTTGCTGTTTGCTGGGTCTTTTGCACGATCTACTAATTTTGGTCAGATAAGCCTGTGTCTATTTCTTTTTACTAAATTGTAGACCCTTTGTACACTTCTAGTTAATAGTTATTAGTTGGATGATGTTAAAGCTGAAGGATCAACAATTCTACTTGACATTGAAAAATGAAAATATATTTAATTTGAATTGCATGAAACAATAATTTCTTTCCTGTTTGCCTGAAAAAAGAAAATTCAAACCTTCACAAAGAAAGTATTATTGGTCTCATTGTTTTGTTTGTGAATGTAATTTACTTTTTATCATACCCTTCCACAACAAATAGGTCAATATACCACCACATGTTTCTCAACTAATCATAAAACATTTTGTACTGTAACAAGCTAATTGGATCGGAAATTATAGGACTCAACATATCCTCAAATATTCAAAGTTAAACGAAACACAATTATTCATTCAATATAACAAATCTTTGAAGGTCCACCACATCACATTTTGATGATATGTTCACAACAAATGTTTCTATGAGTCAAATATTATGTTTTCTTTTGATAAACTCATTACAACAAAACACTAAAAATTACAGCATCAGTCAACATAAACATAAAAACATACTTGCTACAATCTTGAGTTAGCACAAGGCAAATGAAGTCACTTCCATCCGTCCCTAGTAGCAGAAATCAGGTCTAAACCAGGGAATTTCCCTTCAGCTAGGGACATGAAAACTGCTCGTCTTTGAACTGCATATAATATGCTGAGAAAACTATCATAAGCTTATGTTATTCTGTTAATGGAGAGAGAGCAATCTCCATGGACAGGCATAACTGTACATTATAAGAGGCTCCTAGGTTCAGATTGAGCCCAACCCAGCACCAGATGCATATGGATTGTCAAACCAAATTTCAAGAGCGATAATATGCTTCTTAGAGGAAAGCCCTTACACATCATATCCAAGTGGTTGCTAAGGGGTAAATCAAATCTAAGAGTCATCCAGTTCAGTAATTTGTGCTCTTCTTTCGGCAGCTTTCTTCCTGATGAAAATGCCCCATCTCAAGGCAGCTTTGAGTTTGAGCCACCCTACAACAGCCTTACCTGAAGAACGTGTACGTTCCTCATCAAAACCAAAATTAGAAGACATGTTGGGCATGTATGCTGATCCATACTGGTAATTCTCTTCTGCAACACTAGAAGACGCATGACCCTGTCCCATGCTGAACATACGTAGTAGATGTTGCATGTCTTCATTTTCGAGCATCTCATGACTTTTCATACGTATCTCTTCCTCTGTTAAGAAGTCCTCAGCTCCTTTATAAGGATTAGGCGTGCTAGCAGTAAAATAGCTAGACATTGATGGTTGTGGTGGGCGAAGGGCCAGCATGCTGTCACTCCCATGCGGCTGAGCTTGTTGTGACGTGCCTACCAAATGGTTCTGAGGAAACGAAGCACCATTTAAATGCATGTTGCCATTTAGATTCATGTTCTGAGGCTGCATAGTGTATCTGCCACTGAGGCTATCATTATACCCTGGTAACAGAAAAATATCTCATTTAAAGTTACAAATAGGAAGAACTTATAGCAATCCAATAGACAAATGAGGTCATAGGATAATTGGTCAACTAGCTCGCTAAACAGGTAATTGCAGGTTTTAAGCCTTAAAACTAGGTATCCTTCACGTCATGCAAAGCAGTAAACAATGCAGGTTGAGAGACCTACTTTTATGCGAAAAAATTTGCCGAGAAATACATTATTTTATTTACAGAATAATCGAAAAGATTCGGAAAAACGATCTTGCTGGTATCAAATTCAAGAACAAAAGGAACATGTCATAGTGTATCAAACGCATGATGCTGACATACACTGCTTGTGTTTATGCTTTTTTCACTTAGGAAACTTTTCTTCTTGTTAAGACACTATTTTAGTGACGAATTATTATTCCAATCAACAAGAAATCACACCAATAAGCCAAAACAACAAAAAGAGGAGTGGGCAGAATCCAACACAGTTCATGAAGAATGTATCTTAGGGTGTGAAGAATTATTGTTCCAATCACCCAGAAACCGTCCCAAACTGCAGTAAAAGCAGAAGGGGAAGAATTCACACTTTAACAGGAACATATCTTAGGTACCAAGGCATATTTATACCTCCCATGTTCAGTCCCGAATTCATAGAAGGCTGCTCTGATGATATTGAAGCTGGAAGACTTGCTAGATTAGTTTGTTGATCAAAAGAGATTGTATGGTTCTGAGAGCCAATTGTAGGATCATTTTGAGACGAAACTGCCGCTTTATTCTGGCCCAGGCTTAGGAGAGATTTTCCATCATACTCAACAACTTGCATCCAGTTGTCATACGCCTTCTTAACTAAAGTATCCACATATATCTGCAAATATTGTTTGATATTTGCTTAAGAACTTCATCATATACTTGGGAAAAAAGAACTAACATCCAAAAAAGGTCGATTTATGCAAATGATAGCAACACTCGTAACTCCATTGACCACTATTATGTGAAGTATCAAAATGTCACAGGGACAAAGGAGAAAGTGCAAACCGCATCTAACTAGTGTGGCAATTCTAGCAGTATCAAATAAAATTAGTTGTAAATATTATTTGGATATGGTCAAAAGGACTGTTGAATATTCTATATTATAGAAAGCAACTTGAAGGGAACAACATTGCCTTGGGAAATTTCATTGTAATCATTTTTTTTGCATATTCAGCAGTCTGTATCCTTCATTCCTTCTAACTATTGCCTAAAAAAAGTAGAAAAAGAACAGAGAAGGTGAATCAAGGTATTACATTGCTTCAGCAACTAATTTCTGGAGAATATCCCATAAGAACTTGGCAGATCATATCTCTAAGTTACAACAGCCAAATATAGTAAGAAAGAGCCTTTTCAAACTGTAGCAAGCAGGAAAGTTTGTTCTGAGGGACTTTTGTTAATAAAATCTCTTCTAAATGTGATCTGGGAGGACACAAACATGAAAACAAATATGTTTTGCTTCTTGAAGAGTAGTGACTTCACAAAACGGCCACAGATTGGGAGAAAAAATAAAGCTCTCTTGGTATTCCATTGTAAAAGAAAGTTGGGTAACCATGTGAAACCACAGCCCCAATTAGAGTGCATGTCTTCCTTCTTCATTTTCCCCCTTTCTTAAGCATGTCTAGATGAATCCATAATACCAAATTATACAAAAGAGAGAATAATTACAGATTACAAACCTTCTGATTGTCTGAAAGAGAATCCATTGAATGATACTGTCCGCCAGAGATTAAACCACATAATTCGTAGATATTATTAAAAACAACACCGACATTTCTCATATCATCAGGATAGTAGACATAAAGCTTCCCACTTAGAACACAGGTTTTTGCATGGTCCACAAGAGCATCCCACATCTTATTTGACATTCCACTTCCCAGGACCTGAAATAACAAGATGGAAAACAAAAAATGAATTATTAATATGCAACTAACAATTATAGTTCTAATCTCCAACATGTCAAGTTCAAATTTTTTACATTTCGGAGCCTCTGTGAGTCTCTCACAACAAGTCGCAGAAAGTCTTCCACTTTATGTATGCCAGCTTTATTTAGCCTCTTGTGGAAGGATCCATCCTTCCCTATCTTTTCCAATCTCCAAACTTCATCATCTAATGCAGGTGGATAATGTTTCTTGTACACTGCAAGGAAACAAGATTGAAGTTACTACAAACCTCAACAAACATAATTGTAATTTCTATACAAAAGACACATTATATGGGCTTACATTCTCCTCTATGATCCTTGACAGTGAAGGCATCTGTTTTTGCCTCACGAATGCGGATTCCCTCACAGCAACCTGATGCTACCTTTAAGCCTAGCCTGAACTTTCTGCTTCTGATCCAGCTGGAGTTGTCAGTAAATGTCAACTCGCCAAGGGTGCCAACACCTTCCTTCAATATCACTTGCAATTCTCCAGTAAGGAGAGGCCTCTTGCCTTCACGCTCCTTCACTATATGAGACTCAAATTCTTCTTGAGTCCAGCCATCATCATCCTCATTATTAAAATCTCCTTCAAGCACAACAACATCTAGTTTAACTAAGGACTCGGGACCTGATGTTACAACATGGTTTGTATTTCCATCAATCAAGACAATATGTATTGCGGAACCCTGCTCTCCTTCTACTTTTCCTCCTGTGAAGAGAGGTAGTGACAGTTTGGATCGAAACTGAAGCTGCAAATTTCTCCCATCAGGCCCTTCAATTCTTTTTGGCGAAACCCTGCATGGTTATCATAAAATTCAATCCCGGAACAGGGTGAACATTCAATTATAGAAAATAGAGTACATGAACAGCTCAAGCAAGCAAAGGCATAAATTGATCTTTGATGCAAAATTGAATTAGGGGTCACATCCTCACACTGCACTTCCTAGTCATGCTAGTGTTTGGGATATTAGGTCAATTTTTTGGTCAGTATCCAATGGAATGGAGACTTGCTAAAAGTCTTTACACATTTCACACGTAGTATTGGGAAAATCAATCTGCTCTAGCACTGAAATGAACTAGAAGTCAGAATGATTCATACAAACTGCTGAAGCAGAAGGATATTCCCTGTGAGAAGGTTCAATACCATGGAACTTATATAGCAATAAGCATATCAAACAAAATAAATAGTCAATTACAATCTGATAGACACATAGGACCATGTCCATGTAAAAGGTTACTAGTCTATGGTTTATGTTAGCAAATTTTTTTTTTGATAAAAGCAAAGTTTTTTTTTTTAACCACTTCAAACTCTGAAAACATTATTAAGATTTAGTTCTTTCCTAAATTGACTTCCTGCATCTGTAACTACCCTTGACTCTGGCTGCAGAAAGTGGTCAAACCCTCCCATACTCCCATTAATCCTAGGGATTGACTGCTATAACAAATATTGGCCTTAGAAGACTAGCGAAACCTCCCCTCAAGTGTTTCCAACATCTACAATTCATATCCCATTCTAATTCAGTTGAACATTGACCAGTTCACAACTGGATATACCAAATGACTCTGCTGAGTGATAGGATATTTCCCATACATACAAACATCCTGACAAACTATGGAAAATCAGATTTGTTCTCTGAAAGATTGAGTTATGATATGTGAAGCCATACCTTGCATTAAGTTTAG